AGAGAACATGACATACACAATATTCAACGATCAATAAAAACATTCAAAATTACAAACCTTACAAACCCACACTGCTCTTTTTTTTATATATATATATGCAAAACATAAACCCATGTTGGAAGTAAAATTACCCATGTTGGAAGAATAAAAAACCATTAAGCCTCTTGAAAGAGGTGTCGGGTAAGGTGTGCAACCCTCTATCCCACATTTTTTGCCTAAGGGTGTGAGCCCTTTGGAACATCCAAATCTGACCCAGGCCACACATTTAATTCAGTCTTACATTCTCTACTTCTTTTTTGTTGCCTTCTCATTTTATAATTTCCACAAATTTAGTCTCTTTACTAATAACATCAAAAGGTAGTCTGGACACCTCCTACTAAGAAAGGGAGACCAATCTCCATGATGATGATGACAATGATGTGCTCGGTGAGCCTAAGAGTTTTATTCCAGGGTTTGCAACAATTATTGCAAACAACCAAATTTTGATATGTTTAAAACAGCTATAGAACTGGAAATAGAGTTAGCTGTTAGAAAATCTTCAAAGTTTCCAATCTTTCTTTGAGTTCTTAAATAGCAATAATCTGGACAAATACTCTCCAGAACTTCCAGTCCAATAGTTTAAGGCTATCATATTTAAGCAAAATTACACTATATGAGGGTCTTCCATTAACTAAGTTATGGATCATATGCACTTATCACGATAATGCTCCAATTTCAAAATTACTAAATAATTTTCTAATATACTAATTACGTATTTAATTTGATTATGCAAGCCACACCCACTTGTGATTTTAACTTTTCTACAGAAACTTGTCAAGCTGAAATTTGAATACAGAAACTTGTTAGTCAAGTTCTGCAAGCCACACCCACTTGTGATTTTAACTTTTCTACATAACGATAAAACTTTTTTCTTTGAATACAGAAACTTGTTAGTCAAGTTCTGCAAGCCACACCCACTTGTGATTTTAACTTTTCTACAGAAACTTGTCAAGCTAAAATTTGAATACAGAAACTTGTTAGTCAAGTTCTGCAAGCCACACCCACTTGTGATTTTAACTTTTCTACAGAAACTTGTCAAGCTAAAATTTGAATACAGAAACTTGTTAGTCAAGTTCTGCAAGCCACACCCACTTGTGATTTTAACTTTTCTACAGAAACTTGTCAAGCTAAAATTTGAATACAGAAACTTGTTAGTCAAGTTCTGCAAGCCACACCCACTTGTGATTTTAACTTTTCTACAGAAACTTGTCAAGCTAAAATTTGAATACAGAAACTTGTTAGTCAAGTTCTGCAAGCCACACCCACTTGTGATTTTAACTTTTCTACAGAAACTTGTCAAGCTAAAATTTGAATACAGAAACTTGTTAGTCAAGTTCTGCAAGCCACACCCACTTGTGATTTTAACTTTTCTACAGAAACTTGTCAAGCTAAAATTTGAATACAGAAACTTGTTAGTCAAGTTCTGCAAGCCACACCCACTTGTGATTTTAACTTTTCTACAGAAACTTGTCAAGCTAAAATTTGAATACAGAAACTTGTTAGTCAAGTTCTGCAAGCCACACCCACTTGTGATTTTAACTTTTCTACAGAAACTTGTCAAGCTAAAATTTGAATACAGAAACTTGTTAGTCAAGTTCTGCAAGCCACACCCACTTGTGATTTTAACTTTTCTACAGAAACTTGTCAAGCTAAAATTTGAATACAGAAACTTGTTAGTCAAGTTCTGCAAGCCACACCCACTTGTGATTTTAACTTTTCTACAGAAACTTGTCAAGCTAAAATTTGAATACAGAAACTTGTTAGTCAAGTTCTGCAAGCCACACCCACTTGTGATTTTAACTTTTCTACAGAAACTTGTCAAGCTAAAATTTGAATACAGAAACTTGTTAGTCAAGTTCTGCAAGCCACACCCACTTGTGATTTTAACTTTTCTACAGAAACTTGTCAAGCTAAAATTTGAATACAGAAACTTGTTAAAAAGTTGAAAAAATTAATTATTAAAAAATTAAGAAAAATTTTAAAATCTGAAATAATATCAATAAGTCTTACAAATATGTATTATTTACTCATAAGTCATGATGAGTGAATTTTTTTTACACACTTAGCCCTCGTTTTGACAATGATATTGAAAAATTGAAAAATTTATTTAAATGATAAATTATTACATTTTAAAAATATTCATTACATTTTAATAATATTAATTTTTCATTACAACCCTACAGAAATTATCATTACCTAAAGGAACACTTTACCATTATTCAACAATCGGCTACCAAACTATTTAGTGGCCAAAAGTAGGTCTTTGGCGACTAAAAAGTAATTTAGTCGGCGAATCCCCTGTTTTTGGTGACCAAAATTTTGGTCGCCAAAGGTATTTTATAATTTTTTTATTAAACAATTGGCTACCAAACTATTTAGTAGCCAAAAGTAGGTCTTTGGCGACTAAAAAGTAATTTAGTCGGTGAATCCCCTGTTTTTGGCGACCAAAATTTTGGTCGCCAAAGGTATTTTATAATTTTTTTATTTTCATTCGGCTACCAATCTATTTAGTCGCCAATTGTGATATGTTTAGCTACTAAAAATTTTTTTAGTCGCCAATTGTATTTTTTTTAGCTACTAAATTTTTTATAGTCGCCAATAATCAACATTCCCCTACTAAAAAAATTAGTAGCTAAAAGGTTGACTTTTGCCGACTAAAATTAATTTTGGTAGCCAATTCCCACACTTTTGGCGACTAAATTTGTTTTGGTAGCCAAAAATGGCCGGCAAAAATGTGTTTTCTTGTAGTGGCAAAAGCATGCTGTAAGAAATGTATATTTTCACAGCATACAAAAAATATGTCATAAAATATTTGTACTTAAGATGACATACATTTCATGTCGTAAAATATTATAACTTTACACGGCATGCATTAGCATGTCGTGAAAACTTTTATTAAAACAATTTCAATCTGATTTTTTTTTTTAATTTAAAAAAGTTAACAATTTCCAACCAAGCTTCTCACCTTAAATTTTCTTAATTGAGGACAACATAAAAAATAATTTATACATTATTTTATAATTTAGTGTCTCTTTTAAGGGATAATTGCACCCAGTGAGATTTTGGGAAAAAACAATTACACATTCATAAAAAAGTTCATAATTTTAATAATTAATATTTATATGGCTTCTCACTAATTTATAATTATTATTTTTTAAAATTACCTTGATTTGATATTTTTCTTTCTTTTAATAATTTATTTATTTTTTACTTTTTAGATGTGTCTAATCTGAATACAACTAAAAAATAAAATATTTGTAAAAAAAATAATAAAATATAATATATATGAAATGTATTAAATTTTATACTTTTTGAATTTATTGATTTTTTTATAAAAAAAATTAAAAAGTAAAACATTATTAAAATTAAAATAAAATATTTCTTTTAATATATGTAAATTATTTGAATTTAAAAAGTAAAAAAAAATTATTTAAAATATTACAAATATTACAATAACTAAAACAAAAAACTGACTGAAAAACATTTTACTCTCTCTCTCTCTCTCTCTCTCTCTCTAATCCTAATGTCTCTCAACCAATCGAATCAGCCTTCTTCAGCCCGTTTGATCTAATCTCAGAGCGATTGGTGATTCATCTTAGATCCAATCTCAGAGCGATTGGCAATTTCGATTTTGAGATTTCGAAGCTCCACCGCCTCCATCATCTGCACCGGCGAGGGAAGCAAGCACCATCGTCTACTAAGGTGAGTGCTACTGTCTCTGTCTCTCTCTCTCTGTCTCTCTCTCTCTCTCTCTCTCTCTATATATATATATATATATCTCATTCTTCGATTTTGGCTATCAATTCCAAAATGTAAGGCGATTTTCATATTCTGTTTTTTGTTTTGATAGATTTTATTGCGGTTTTTCTGAAAATTTGCTACACTTATCAGTGATTTGTGGCGAAATCACAACTTCTTTGCTCTTTATTCTCTCACTGCTGCTTACTGTGTCTTTTCTTGATTTCAAATTGCATCAATCTCCCAATTTTAGGATTCATAGATATCTCTTTTAGTCCGTATGAGAAATTTATTTTATCTGATTCAATAATCGTTAGTCTTCGAAGTTCTTTGTTTTGATATCTCGCAATCGATGGCTTTATTAGAATGTATAAATCATTTGATTCAGTGTTGGTTGAGTGAAACATGTGAACCATGATAGTTTCGTCTTGTCATAGCTTCTGTTTTCTACCAATTTTCGCACTGCTCGTTTTGTTTTTTTTTTCCCCTTTTTTTATTACTTTTTTGTTTGATGATGAGCATTTTACATTTTAACCCCATTTCTCTTATATTTTCTGCTTTATTTTGTTTCTGAAGTAAATACTGAAAAATCTCACCTATCTAATCTCAGGTATGTCGTTCACTTCAATGTAATTGTAATTTAAAGCTTCAATTTGTTGCTCTCTTTCTATCTGTACCCATTTGGCGTTGTCGGTTGCGTCCAAGTCATAGCAACCTCTTGATTGACCTTTAGTTTAAGGGGAAGTTGAATGGCCCTTGCTTATAGATTAGTATGACCCAACTTACATGCTGCACGCTTATCATACGCTTATTATTATAAGAGGGTAATATGTCAGCATTCTTGGTGTTTAGCTCCCTGGCATCATAAGAACATTTTTTTTTGAATGCCTTCTAGCATTCTCTTGTATGGAACCCAGTTTTCTTCTTCTTTCTGCTCCTTTATTCATAAACAAAGAACTTGCATGATATCAACTAAATCAAATTATACAAATTGACTTGAAAGTTTTAGATATGTGTAGATTTAATAACTATTCTTTCTTGATGGTAACTGAGGTTTATTTATTATTTACTTTATCATTAGGACTACACTAACCTTGGAAAGGAGGAAAAATATGATAGTGTCTGACAGCTGCTAATCCTGCTGTCGATGACTTCATTAGGAGTCCCACTCTTTCATTCTAAGTTGCATTCTCTTTTTATTATTAATTTTTTTTTCTTTTCGCAGATATGTGATAGGTTTATTAACCGTAGGATGGCGCATAAGTTCTATGACAAAGCTCTAACGATTGGCCTAAAAGGTTATGCTCAGTTGTATGTCTGCATCACCCTATCATCAAGTCCTTTTTTTTTATATATAATTACCATAAAAAAAGGGAGGGGTGACCATTGGTTCAATGGTAAAAAACCTTGGCCTAATAACCTTGAGGTTGTGGGTTCAAGTCTCGGGGCAACGGTTTTGTACATTATGCCAAAGGTTAGGTGTGTACCCAATCTTTCATCTCCCAAACACATTAATGTGTACTAATTGGGCGTTGTTTTTTTACCCAAAAAAAGGTGGTCTTATCATATTGAATTTTCGTATTTGTGTCTGTTTCTCAATGCAGTTATCTTATGTATTGCTTCTCTGTATCTCTCTTTCTCTTTTTTTTTGTATTGTCATCTCTTGAGATTTTAGACTGTGTTTCTTATGTTACCAAATCTGAATTTCATTGTAGGCACCAGACCGTCATATCCCATCTTGCAGATTGGGAAGGCATTGAAAAGGTCATATGTGTTCTCTTCTTAATCTGTTGCTATAGTTTCGTCTCGTCTCATTAAGCAAACAGTAATTCTACAAATAAAATTAAAGAAGCAAAAATCTTGAGGTTAAAAAATTGTTATCGGGGCTTTACTGAGGATAGCGTAGTTATCTCGTGAATAAATATGAATTAGTGTTGGTATGGAGTCTCCCTACACACCTATTAGGAGATATATTATCCTTCCGAGTTTTCTGTTGTAGAAATTGTATGCAATAAATGAAGTCCTGCATTGAGGAAGTATCCAAACAAGTTGTGTGTTAAATTTTATGAGATATACTGTTGGTTGATAATCTATGAATTGTTTGGATGGTGGTCCATTATTAGAACTTAGAAGCCTCCCATTTCTACTAATATGAACTCATGGTTCATTTTTTGTTGTGTTAACAGTCACGTTCTGTTCGAGACTTCAACAATTATGCAACTAGAGTCCTTCGAAAATATAAGGTATAATCTTTTGACTTATTGTCACATGCTCAAATTGTTTGCTGAGGATATTCACTTGTTTCCCAGACGGTGGATGCATATTGCAGGCACAACAGTAGCACTAATTTTGTGGGTAATGTAATGGTGCCACTTCTTTGCATCAGTGCTCTAGATGATCCAGTCTGCACAAGAGAAGCCATCCCTTGGGATGAATGCAGGTATGGAGTCTACAGATTTTCTTGTTTTAAATTATAGATTATCTTAAAATCCTTTGTTTTACTGTTTCAAATTCTAATAATTGGGAAGTTCACCTAAAATATTAAAGTAAAATTCAAATAATCTATTTTAATTTCAAGAGAATTATGCACTGTTTCATAGTACATGATCTTAGTGAAGTTGCACAAAACTCCCATGTTTTAGCTGTTTGGCCCAAATGGACAAAATTGAAAATCTTCATGCTTTTGGTATCATGTACACAAATGCATCCACATGGATTTTGGGTATTTCCTTGTCGGCCGCTTCACTAATTTTTGAAAGTAAGTAGCCCTCAAATTAGAATTAATGGGTCCACAGAACATTGCAAGAAGCTGTTGCATGTCTCCATAAAAAGAGGACTTGACAGACCTCCAACTCAGCCTCTTGACTGAAGTTAGATTATCTATATTAGATAGTTGGGCATCGATGGTCCTCATCACTTTTTGACCATATTACTTTCAAAGTGTAAAGCTATTCTTTTCTTTTCTTATTATATATATATATATATAGAATGCTTAATAAAAAGATGAATTAAGACAAGAAAAAGAAAAAAGAAGCAGGAGCAGACAATCTTGTTGCTCTGTTGTGCTTGTAAGTGAAGGATTTTTGCAAAGTGCAGGTTCTCCAATCCAATAGAGAAACACATCAGAATAAATTCCCATGCCCTACCTTGTTTTTGTTCATTGCATGGTTTCCTGATGGAAATCAAAAGCTTTCATAGCAGTGACTTGAGCTTATCTTTGAACGATTGGAAGGTTGTTACCTGTAGTTAATGATTTCTACATTAGCCACTTCCCTTCACAGGAAGGGAAAATTAACAAATGCAAGTTGTTGCATTGGGAGGGGACGAACTTGGTAGTTGCAGAAGGCCAAATTGCATCAAGGGATCCCAAGTCAAAGGTGCATCATGTGACTCTTGGACCTTTATGTTGGAAAGTATGGGTGAACCACATAACAGTCAATGTGCCGTTGTTTCGTTCTGCTCATGAAATGTATGATCTTCAAGATGCAATAGGAAGTACAGTTGCATGACCTAGTCAATTCATTCTTTTGGACTAAATATTAGACTAAGTGATTTACAATTTGTAGTTATACTTTTTGGATGTTTAAAGTCGTATTTTAGAGATTAGTGAATCTTATGATTTGAATACTTTTTTTGATTTGTATGTTTGAGGTTGTTATTAGCTTGATATGATAGAAGTTAAGGATGAAAGTTAGTATGCAGGTTGTTTGGTGTATGAATATGAGATTTTTTTGCTTACTTTATAGTTGTTGTTTCTGCTTGGTTTGTTAACAGATTGCATTTTATAAGCAACTGCCTACATACTATTAGGCAATGTTATATTCCTGTATATATATATATAATATTAAAAATAACTTTCTACGGCATGCAAAATTATGCCATGAAAAGTGTAATGATTTATGGCATGTAAGAAAATGTCGTAAAAGATTATATACGGCATGCAAAGTATGTCATAAATATATTAAAAATGACCTTCTACGGCATACAAATTTATGTCGTAAAAAGTGATGATTTATGACATGCAAGAAAATGCCGTAAAATATTATATATGACATACAAAGTATGCCATAAATATATTAAAAATAACTTTCTACGGCATGTAAAATTATGTTATGGAAAGTATGATGATTTATGGCATGACAAAAATGTCGTAAAAAGTTATATACGACATACTTTGTATGTCATTAATATTTAATTCGTTACTTTTTATAACTTTACCTGTATGCTGTAAATAATGCTCAACTTTCCACTACATGTCATATAACGGCATTTGTGTGCATGCCGTGAAAGATTTTTTACGGCATGCATTGCAAGCCGTAAAAATTCAATTTTGTTGTAGTGGTTTGTGATTTTGATTATAAATTTTTATTTTGATTTTTAGTTTTTTCAAACAGCCATGGAGAAATATTTCAAAAGAAAATCAAAATTGGAATCATCTCTTCCTTAAGAAGAAGATGATAATTATTCTTCCGCAAAACAAAGTTGCATAGAAATCAACTTAGTAGACCTTCCTGCAGATCCAGGACTACAGCCTCGGATTATGGACTATAATGCTAATGATCGAGACCAAATTCGTAGGGCATATCTACAAAAAGGTCCTTGTCAACCTTGTAATCATAATTTTCCACAAAAATCATTTGGACAAAAACTTCGGCTATTTAATCAGGCTTGATTTAGTGAATTTTCTAATTGGTTGGAGTATAGCGTAGCAAAAGATGCAGCATTTTGTTTGTGTTGTTATCTTTTCAAACCTGATATTGGATATCAAGCTGGTGGTGATTCTTTTGTTGGTGAGGGTTTCTCAAATTGGAAGAAAAAAGAAAAAATTCAAATACATGTTGGAGGTCTCAATAGTGCTCATAATCAAGCTTAGAGTAAATGTCAAGACTTGTTAAACCAAAACCAACATAATCAAACGATTTTTTTCAAACAATCTGATCAAGCTCGAATTAAGTATCGAACTCGTTTGAATACCTCCGTTGATTGTGTCAAAATTCTTTTAAGACAAGGACTTGCATTTTGTGGGCATGATGAATCTAAAAATTGAAGTAACCAGGGAAATTTTCATGAACTTTTCAAGTTTCTTACTGAACATAATGAAGATGTCAAAATGATTGCATTGAGCAATGCTCCACAAAATCTCAAGTTGACATCTCTTGATATTCAAAAAGATATTGTAAATGTAGCCGCATTTGAAACTATTAATGTGATTATTAGAGATCTTGGTGATGCACTTTTTTGTATTTTGATTGATGAAGCCCGTGACATATCAATCAAGGAGCAAATGGCAGTTAATACGATATGTTGACAAAAAAGGCCAAGTGATGAGCGCTTTTTGGGTATTGAGCATGTTGCTAATACGAATGCTCTCTTACTCAAACAAGCTGTGGAAAATTTATTCTCCAAACTTGGATTAAGTATTTCCAGATTGCAAGGTCAAGGATATGATGGAGCTAGTAATATGCAAGGTGAGTTCAATGGTCTTAAAACACTTACACTGAAAGAGAATCCTTGTACATATTATGTTCACTGTTTTGCTCATCAATTGCAATTGGCACTTGTACATCTGGCAAAGAATCATAATCAAATTGCTTTACTTTTCACTTTGGTGTCTAATGTAGTGAATGTTGTTGGAGCATAATGTAAACGCTGAGATATTGTTTAGGAGAAGCAAGCTGCAAAAGTTGCTGATTCACTTATTATTGAAAAGCTATCTAGTGGGTAAGGCTTAAATCGAGAAACTAATTTTAAACGTGCTGGTGATACACGTTGGGGTTCACATTATGGTACTTTAGTCAGCTTGGCTAATATGTTTTTAACAGTGATTGATGTGCTTGAAATGATTTCGGAGGATGGTACAAATTCAGAACAACGAGCATTGAAAAATGTATTACTGGATTCAATTCAATTATTTGAGTTTGTGAATAATCGGTTGTAGAACCGAATGGGTACTGAGTGGATAAATGATAGCTTGGTTGTCTACATTGAGAGAGATAGTTTTGACGGTATTGACAATGATACTATCATGGAAAGATTTCAAATGACAAAAACTCGTCGGGTCAATTGTAAAAGTTTCAAATTAAAAACTTTTTGTAACGAATTTTAAATTTTTAATATTTAATATTAGCTCGAAAAATTATTATTTTGTGATTGTTATTGATTTGGAAGGAAAAATTTTGAGATTATAATTAACAGGTGCCCCCTATATTAAATTCCTGGCTCCGCCACTAGTTAAACTAATTGATTAGTGTTATACAAATAAAAAATTTATATAAAATTTTAAACCATAGTTATATAGTTCATTAGTATGACTTCTAGTATCAAGAATATTATTATCTCATATTTTTCGTTAATATTTTTTTTTTTAAATTCTGCTTGTAAATTATTCTTTTATCCAAATATATGAATATCAAAACAACAGTACAAATTAATAGATATTTATAACCATGCATATAACACTTCAAATGTGTAGAGAGAGAAGTTAAAAGAAAGTTAAGAAGGCTATGATGGAACCTAATTCATTTATTTCTGGATCCCACACAATCACAATGATACAACTAATATATATATTATACATATAAAAAATAATATATAAGCTTGTATTTTAAATTTATTTTTTAAATTCAGTAATATATTAAGAATATCATTGGATGATAATTAATTATTAAATAATTATTTTTTTAACATTTCAATATAAAACAATACTCCATCTGTCTCAAAATATTAGTCCCTTATTTTATGTTTTATTGTCCCAAAATATTAATCTCTCTTCAAAAATCAAGTACAAAAATAATATAAATTTTCTATTTTGCCATTCTTTTAAATTAATAAACAATATAAAAAGTATAATTATGGCATTGATATTCTCAAAAAATGTATTATCAAAAGGGTAATTTTGAAAAATTATTTTTTTTAAATGTAATAATTATACTATTAAAAAAAATTAAATTTTTTAAAAGATATTATTATTTTGACAGAGGGAGCACTTTCTTCTCTTTGATAATACAAAGGCATTTTTACCGGTAACTATTAATTTTCACATACAAAAGAGTCGCACAAAACTTTTTGGTCTGAACCAAAAACACAAACACGGCACTTGACAGTGACTGCGCAAGGAAGATACTTAACTAGCTCCCATGTCTACGGATCACTTATTTTTCTATTATTATTATTATTTTTTAAATTGATATTCTGCCCATTTGAACCGACAGACCAATTTCCAGGTCTATTTACGAATATCTCAATAGGATGAGTATGGTTGAAATTGATATGAATTGGAATAAAATTAGAATCAATTTGTTATTTGTAGTTTTTAAAAAATTAAAATTAATTCAATTCGTTTAAATAGTAAAATAAATTCAAACCTATCCATTTACATATAGATTAGATCGGTTTAAGACTACGGATTTATATAATTAAATAATAAAAAAATATAAAACATTTTAATTTCATAAAAATATAAACATAGTATCATATTAGTTCTACAACAGTAACATGTCTTTCCATAATAGTGATATATTGTTTTACAATTTAAATGACCATAAAAAACTTGTTCCATCATAAGTATTTAGACTATTACAAATTAAAATTAAAAACCAACAAATAAAAGCAATAAAAGAAAATACTATGCAGATTTAGGTTTCTGTTTAAGTTTTACATAAAATAAGAGAAGATACTATGCGGGAGTGTGTAAAATATAAATATAAATTATTTATATATGGTTCAGATATGTTCCAATTCGAAACCGTGAGGTTCAATTCGGAATCGATTCGTAGATTACGAATTTTTATTTTTTCAATCCAAAACCAAATATTACAAATCCAAAAAATAATCAAAACCTATCAATTAGACTACAGATTTCACAAATTCCTTACTCAGTTTTATATCGCAATGGGACAAAGTATGGACTGACTCTAAAAAAAATTATCTACGAGCACTTGATCGGTAATACTAACACGATCAAATAGCTATCGATATATCAGATCAACGTGATTTTTTACAGACATATAGTATTCGACGAGTTCTACATATTGAAATGGTTCCGATTAGCAAAATGGGACTCGCGGTGGACCCACACGAGCCAAATAACACCTTCCAATTCAAACCCGAAAAGGAAACAATCATTTCCTATCTCCTAATCAGCCCCTGCTCTGCCAGGCTGTCTGAGTTACTTTACTAACTTCTCCTATACACTTATTTATATAATTTTTAATACATATTTTTTTTATAAAAAGTAAAAAAAATTAACTTAAACATCCATATTTTTTTTCTCAACTTTTTAATTCAAAAAAATAAAAAAATACACTTATTTATAACAACTCAAACAACTCCTAGGTCATCAATTCCTGTTCAAGAGCTCCTCTATCATTTGCAAAGTCATCCTCTCCTCTTTTCCCAACCCATCTCCCATTTCCGCCGCCAGCAACGGCGGCGACTCTTCTGGCGTCTTCTCCACCGCCGGCAGGTCCTGTTCCAGCGGTGCTGGATCGACTTTGTTGTCAAGGTCCACCATCATGACCCAGTTAGAGTCGGAGCGTGACCCGGCTCGCTTTTGCCAAACTCCGATGTGGGAGTTATCCGGGTCAAGCCTCAGGCAAGTGAGAGATGGCGACGGAGACTTACAGCACTTCCGAAGCTTCGTGCTCAACACCGACGACATTACTGTCCACGATGCTGGGCACGTGTCATCCGTGGATTGGCTGGCGGTGGTGATCGGAAAGTTTGTTTTGGCGTTTCGGCCGCTCATGAGAGTGGCAGCCTCGTCGTAGGCACGCGCCGCCTCTTCAGCGGTCCCGAAAGTGCCCAACCACACCCTCTTCTTCCTGCAAATACAAAATATAAATTCGCAAAAAAGAAAAAAAAAGGAAGTGAAGTGAGAAAAATTGTCAAGAATGTGTAATATACAAATATATAGTAGACATATACGGTAAAAATAGATGGACAGAGAGGTGATCACAGTAAAGGATGGCGAATCTCAGCGACCCAAGAACCCCAGTGGCGTTGCCTGACACCTCTGTACTTCTTTGATTGTACCATTTTGTTTTTGTTTTTTTTTTTTGTCAGAGAGTTGAGAGAGAGAGAGGAAGCAGAAATTACGGGAGATGTGGAACTCATTGCCACTGTGATGAAATATAAAGGGGGGAAGCTGGCTGGCAATGAGAATGCACCAGCAGTACATACTCCAAAAAATTTGGGACCACAGCCCTGACTAGCATTTATTTTTATTTATTTATTTATTTTTCATGCACATGGGTTAAATGTTTGTTGTTAATAGTGGCAGGGATAACTGTATCAAATTTGGAGTATGTACTGCTGGTGCATTCTCATTGCCAGCCAGCTTCCCCCCTTCATATTTCATGCACATGGGTTAAATGTTTGTTGTTAATAGTAGCAGTGATAACTGTATCAAATTTCTATCTGTAAGGTTTGAACTCGAAATGTTACAATTGTTACATAACTACTAAGTGAAAATTTGCCTTGCTAGCATTTAGCTAGTAAACATATAGAGAGCTGTTTGATTTTATAATACATCATGTTTCGCGATTTTATTTTTTTGACTACAAAAATAAAATTAAAAAAAAAAACTTCATAAGTCAAATTATTTAAAAAAAAAATATAAAAAAAAAACTACTCAAACATGCAAGTCATACATATCAATAATTCAACTTTTTTTATACAATTTAAAAAAAAAAAAATCATGAACTTTTTTAACTACGCGAAAAAATTATCAAAAGTTTTGAAAAGACCCACATTTTAGCTTATTTCAAAGGTAGTCCAAAACAACTCAAGGTTATGGAGTGTGTAGGGTTCACTGCTGGCCAGCCAGAGACCGTCACCGGAACAGAGCATCATTCCATGACTACCGGCAATGGAAATGTACAAGCAACGAACCAACACCTGAAGAAGCAGATCTTTTGGAGAGACACCAACGAAAAATCGACGCCCCTATATCAGGTACGCAACCTCTTCCCTGTTCCTTTCAGGAAGCCATAGCCTTTCCTTTCCTCGTTGCGTCACTTTCTAGTCTCCCTCTTTTTGCCCTTTCTGTTGAAGAAGCTCAGGGAGATTCAGCATCTCCAATGCACTAGGCATATAATACTTATTAGTTAAAATGCCTAGTATGATTCACTTTTTTCAATTCCAATACACAAGGCATATGATTAGGCATTTTGGCTCAATTCATATTCACTAGCTACATGTAGCTAGCCTTCAACGCTAGGCAAAATGTATTCAATCATTAGGATCATTTCCCTCCATCTTTGTTGTTGACGTGGCATTCTATAAAATTAATAGTATTTGGATAAATAGCTAAAATAAAGAGCATGGTTGGAGTAAAAACATAAAACAGTTGATAGGCAAAATAAAATGTATACTTTATAGTAATATTTAGACAGGTAAAATGCCTACTACCATTGGAGATGCTTAAGGACGCAAAACCCGATTTAATGATCCCTATTATTTCCATTTTGGAGGAAGAGAGGCTCACTGCAATAAAAAGCATCTTTGGCAACGTTTTTTAGCAATCAAACAAAAATTTAGTCGCAAAAGATACATGAATAGTTATGGTCTCTAAAAACTGAACTTTTGGAAGCGAATTTAATTTTTTGGTCGCTGTTGAGTTTGGCACCAACTGAAAATTCTGCGCGGGAGCACTAAAAAGTTTTTGATGACCAAATTAATTTATGGCGACGGAAATTTTAGTTGCCAATTGTATTTATTTGGCGACAAACATTATTTAGTCAGCAAAAATCTGAATAATGTTTATGATAACCAAATTAATTTGGTCGCTAATAAATTATTTGTCTTTGTCCTAATTTTTTATTGCTAAAAGTAGTTGACTGAACATTTTGGAGAATAAAGAAACAATTGACCATCACTTTCTCCATCTCATTTTCTCACTCCATCAGAAACGGCACAGCACAGGTATGCTCTTCTTCTTCTTCTTCTTTTTCTTCTTCTTCTCTCTCTCCCTCTCCTTCTCCGTCTTGCTCTCTCGTGCCGCCGAATGCAAAAGGCACAGTAGCGCTAGGTGGCGCCGATCGTGACCCTCTCTTTGGGTCGCTGCCCTCTTCTCTTCTCTGTCTTTGATATTTTGAATGCATTGGGACTATATCTGATCTTTTCGTCCTTTCTTCTATGTTCAATCCAAGCCCTCTGTTGTTTTCTTATAGTTATCTATTTGATTTTCGTATCCATTCAATCTAAAGATTGTGATTTGATTTTCTCAGCCATATGTGTGCACGCGCGCGCATGCGTGTGTGTGTGCAATGTATAGAAGTAGATAAGTAAGGATGAGATGACAGAGCTTACCATCAAGGCTTCGACAACTATTATCCAGCGAATGAGCTATCGGTCCCTCTGCTAAACTCGACTCGGAGCCTGTGAGTTCTTTGTATACTCTTTGATTTTCTTGATAATTTAATCTTAATGTGAGTTCATGTATAAATATTGCTTATATGTTTTATTGTTAGTTTAGTGTTCTGCCTGAATTGATAGATGATTAGTTTGTGCTTAAGGTTTTTTTATTGGCATTTCTCTTTTGTTTCTTATGGAATCAGATTCGATCAAAATGGGTTTTGGTATGTGCAGGAATATGTTTATTGAGACATGGGTAAAGTTGGGCAGGGGCTAAATTCATTTTATTTTTTTGTTAGATTTGTTTGGGTTATGGTTATTGGTATTGGAAGCACACGTAGTTTGTGGTTCTGCTATGAAGTTGTAGAAATGGTTCTTTACATTGTCGTTAGTCTTCATGTCACAAATAATAGTCATAAATAGGGAGATATTGATGTTTGTGGATTGTTGAATTGAAATGTTTCACTATGAAGTGTTGGAATTGGTATAAAAAACAACAGGTCACCTAATTGAATTTTTTGGCAGTTTAAGAAGTTCATTATAATATGCTCAGCATTTAATGATTAAAAGTATACTGATGTTGATATTATTGCTGCAGACTGACATACGCAAGAATCATGCATTCAGGTCACAGTTTCATGAGATGTGTGCTAAAGTTGGAGTAGATCCCCTAGCCTCGAATAAAGGTTTTTGCGTGGAGCTGCTGGGGATTGCTGACTTGGACTATGAACTAGGTTGGTACCTTTCTTTGTGATTTTGGTGCATCTCTTGCAAGTTAAGTCTCCAATTTTGTTATGATGGAATAGGGAGCATACACTAAAAGAAATTAAGATTTTAGAGACAAGTTTTTAGGGACAAAAATAATTTGTCGGCAAAAATTATACTTTTAAAGAAAAAATTAAATATATATATATATATACATTTAATTATGATACTATATTTTTTAGACAAGTCTATTTGGTTGCAAAAGGGTTAATGATTTTTTCCTACAATTTTAGTTGGTTCCCAATGAACTCAACTCATATATTATTTTCATTCTTTGAACTTCAATAGTCGGGATTCATTCTTTGAAATCTCTCTCTCTCTCTCTTTCTCTCTCTCGATCGATCGATCGAATCCCTAATTTCCTTCTCCATAGAATATGTGGTTTGTTGATTTTGATCCCTAATCTGATCTCAGAGACTCCTGATCTGCACTTCTAATCGATGGTTTATTGATTTCATCCCCGGGGAGTCTCATAGTCTCTCTCTTGACAATGATTTAAGTATCCAAGTTTGATCGATTAATCAATTTCAGTCTTATTGATTTGGTTTTCGACCTGTTGTTTGCATTTGTTCTTCGAAAATGCTTGTTTATTAGTGTAATGTTTGTGTTGATTATGTAGTATCAACAATGACCTCTTCAACACTGACTCTATCTTTGAGGAACAATGCCAACGGCAACAAGAGCAAGAACACTGTAGCATCATCTACATCTCTTCGTCAGAAAACCCTAAGTTCGATCTCGGAACTGAAGGAATTGGCCTCTTCGCTCTTGGACTCCGCCAAGCGCCATTTCAATCACTCGCATTAAGAGATCCTCAAGGACCTCGAGGCCTCTCTCTCGTCTCCATAAACGATTAAAGGTCTCTCTCTCTCAAATTTTATTGTGATGTGCTCTAATTGCTTGACCAAAATTTCACCATGGAACTACAGGTTAAGATTTTAGTGATTATATAATGTTAATTGTTGCAACTGTTGTTTGACTTTATAATCTACCATATTAAGATATTAATGGGAAAGCATGCAGGTGTTATTTATGGAGCAGCACCTGTGAACTATGTGTTGCTAGCAATGGCGGAGGGAGGTTGGGCTCAGGGGGTCACGTGCCCCCTGACTTTTCAAAATTATTTATTTATTTATTTATTTTGGATCTTACTCTTACATAAGTGCCCACGTTGTTATTGTTGGGTTGGGTCTTGCTCACCACATTGACACACACCACATGCACTTGTTTTTTTAATCCCAATCCTAACCAAATACTGATACATAATTTTTTTTTGGATAAATACACACAACTCTAATTATGGTAAGGTTAAAACTCTAAAACCTAAAAGTGTATGGAATTTTTTATTATTTTATTTATTCATAGTACTTGTTAAGTATCTTCGTATTTTCTTTGTCTCACTTTGTTACTTTGCAATTTACCGACTCGTGATTCACTATATTAGGATCACACAACACAGATTTGGGACCACACTACAATCTTGGCGCCTTCTCTTCATTGTTTACAGGTAACTTTTTTTTTTTTTTAAACTTTTAAATAAAAATTATGAGTATTAATTTATAGTTATTTGTTAGGTTTTGATTTGTAAATTTTTTTGATTTGTTATTATTTATGTTAAAATAAGAGATTTTGATATGTTAAAATTATGAATATTAATTGGTGGTGATTTATATTAAAATTAGGGATTTTGATTTGTTGTTGTTTGTGCTAAAATTAGGGATTTTATTTGTGCTAAAATTAAAAATATTAATTTGCAGTGATTAATATTTAAATTAAGTTTTGTTATAATTTGTGCTAAAATTAGAATTTTGATTTGTTGTGATTTATGCTAAATTTAATTTTTTTAATTTGAATTAAAATTTGAGATTTTGATTTGTGGGGGTTTGTGATTTTGATTATGAATTTTTATTTTGATTTTTAGTTTTTTCAAACAGCCATGGAGAAATATTTCAAAAGAAAATCAAAATTGGAATCATCTCTTCCTCAAGAAGAAGATGATAATTATTCTTCCGCAAAACAAAGTCGCATAGAAATCAACATAGTAGACCTTCCTGCAGATCTAGGACTATGGCCTCGGATTATGGACTATAATGCTAATGATCGAGACCAAATTTGTAGGGCATATCCACAAAAAGGTCCTTGTCAACCTCGTGATCATAATTTCCACAAAAATTATTTGGACAAAAACTTCGGCGATTTAATCAGGCTTGGTTTAGTGAATTTTCTAATTGGTTGGAGTATAGCATACCAAAAGAAGAAACATTTTGTTTATGTTGTTATCTATAGACACCCCATTTTGACCGCCCTTAAGACTTTGGGCGTTACTGATGGTTTACTTGGTGATGAAAGATGTGCAGGGCAAACGGTCAATTTCTTCGGCGAGAGGAGAGTCAAATCTAAACCTCACACCCCATTTTGGACCAAAGCTATTTTGAATGGTTTTTAAACCTTAAAGTCCTCTCTTTCAAAATATTTTTGAAATAAAGTTCCTACGATGTTCCAAGGCTCGCATTTTGTTAAATGTTGCGCTTTTCAGTAAACCGAGCAAGGACAAAATGGAAATGAATGAAAGAGAGAGATGAAATATTTGAAAAATCTTTCAAAACACCTTGTTTAGGGGTTTGGAGTTGAAGAAAAGAGGAGAAGAGGGAAGAAACGAAGTTGGAGAAGAAGATGGGCATGAATCGTTAAGAGAGAGTCGAGCAACTCTCGCTAAATCAGGCCTATCCATTTGAATACTTGGATTTCAGATATGATGCCACCACCGTTGGAAAGCTTACTTCTGGGGCTTTATTTTTCACTTAAGAATCTCCTAAAGCCGAGTCCGGATGGGAGAGATATGATTGGTTGAAGTTGGGTATCATTTTGGTTGGACCGAAACTGAGCAACCTTTACTAAAAGAGAGATATCTCTTAGCACACATGGAATTTTGATGTGAGGCTTGTATAATGGGAAAGAAGACTTCCGGGGCTACAGTTTAGGCTTAAGAATGACCTAAAAAGGAGTCCAGATGAAGGAATTAGGCTTTTTTCAAGTCAAGGACCAGGACTGATTTTTTCCATCGGCCTCCATGGAAGTGCATCGGCCACAATTTGACCTCATCGGCCATAGGTCGGCCAAAAGTGAATCTTATCAACCGAAAATGATGGCCGGTTGGCACCAAAGATATCCAGTCGGCCAGAAGTGTCCAGAAAGCCCAGAATTAGCAGATATTTCTTCTCTAGTTGTTTCCAGTTTGTTCCACCTGTCTCAAATTAGATATTTTCGACCAAAAGCTTTGCATTGCTATATATGAAGCCAAATATCTCATATTCAAAGATATAGAAATTCCTAATCAAGTTTGAGAGCTTCTCTCACTAAACTCCCTCTCTCTTTACAGAATTTTCAGAGGAAAATCTCTGTCTCTCTCTCTAAAGCCTCTCTCTCTCTTGCCCTTTGGTGCATAGAAGTGCATAGAAATACAACTCCTTTGCCTAAGCATCCTTCATCAAAGTTGCATATCCATGGGCTTAGGTCTCTTGGAACTGGTTTTTGGACTGATAGAAGGTCATTTGAGCCAAGAAAGAGGCCCTTTTGCTGTTGTGCTACAAGGGTAAGCACCTCTCCTCTTTTGTATTTGTTTTGGACACTTACTTCACCACCTTTGCACACTACTTTGGGGCTATTTTTTTGGGTGGTGTTGAACTACAAAAATCTCTATTTTTCCTTTGGTTTTTCAGTCCTAAAATTCTTGGTTTGTGCCTTGGTTGGCTAGGGGGTTGTCCTCCTTTTTGCTCATTGGCTTGTAAGGCCTTGTGAGATAACTTTCAAACTTTTCAAACAACATCTTTTTGGCCTTAAAACCACTGAATTCTAGAGGAATTTCAGTGGTAGAAAACTTGCTTTGAGGCTCAAAATAGGAGGGGGTTGTCCCCCCCATCCTCTTTTCTTGTTTGCTTGTACTGATGGCCCTCCAAAAGAGCATGCGTTTCTATTTCTTGAAGGCTTTGTTAAGGCTCATTTTTGTGGCTTTCCAAACCTTCCATAACTCTATTTTGGGCTATCTTGCTCACTCCATGCATGCTTTTTACACTTATAGTGTAATCCTTGCAAACTAGCCTTGTATGCTTAAGCTTTTGGCTCATCTTTCTAGCATGTGTTGGCTCCATTCTAGCATGCTTTTGGTCATTATTTAACATGCCTTGACTCTGATTTTAGTTGGTGAAGTCATCTCATGCTTGGCTTTGGTAGGTGTAGTGTAAACATGCTCATTGGCCTAGCCTGCTTGATGTTTTGGCCCTTCATGCTAGCTTGTCTTGGCTATACTCCATACATGTTTTATCATTATTTTGACATGATCTAGGACTGTTTTGATTGTTCTTGGCCTTTTGAGGCTCGCTTTGTATAGCTATAGTGTATTTGGCTTTGCTAGCCTTGCACTTTAGGCCCCCTAGCATGTCATATTTGAGTTATTTGCATGATATGACAACATTTGGTTGGTAATTTCAGATCATAAACTTTTGCCATGCTCTCATGTTTATCACTTTTTAATTGTGTTTAAGAGTTGTGCCATTATGCATTGTTTGTGAGCTAATTCGGGAGCCTATCTTTCTTGCCATCTTTGTTGCGAGTCCAACATGTTTTTTTTGGTACCATTTTGACCTGCCTTAGGTCTGTTTTGAGTGCTTTAGGTCATTTGAGCATTGCTTGGTATGGTTGTAGTGTAAAACTCTTGACTAGTTTTGTATTTCAAGCCCTTTTGCATGCTTTATTTGAGCTATTTGCATGATATGGCATCATTTGGTAGGTGATTTCAGAGCATATTGCATTGCCACACTCTCACATTTTCCACTCCTTCAATGTGCCTGAGAGTTGTATCTTCATGCCTTGTTGGTGAGCCAATTTGTGCGCATGCTTGTCTAGCCTTTTGAGCTTCAAATTCCAACATGTTTAGGCCATTATTTTGATGTGATTAAGCTCTGTCCAGAGCTGGTTTAGTCCATTAAGCATTGTATTGCATGGTCCTAGTGTAATGCTCTTCACTAGTTTCAACGCTTAAGTGTTCTAGCATGTTGTGCAATCGATGTTTGCATAGTGGAGTCTTGTATTTCATGCCACTTTAGCACTGAAAATCTGCCATCCTCCTCATTTCTTCACTTTTGATTTGTTTTAAGAGTTGGTTAGTCTTGAGTTTGAGTTTAATGCAAGGGATTGAGACTTATGCTTAAATGGCTTCAACCCTCTTTTGAGGGTTACTCCTAGTCAAAGGCATTGGTCTCTCCCATGCCTTAAGCCATTCTCTTTAATAGACCTCTCTCTCATTAGAGGACTCTGATAGTTGGACAAGTTGATTAATGAATGGATTGGTAATGTTAAAATGTGTAAACAAAATCAATCAAGTAAAATGTGCCAAGATAAGCATGTTACATGTGTGCATTGCATTGTGTTCAACTGGACGTTATGTTGAACACAAAGTGAATTGGTCCATTTCATACTTGAAGTGATGAAAATGGGCCAATCCCCTTTGTCTCCATTGCCTTTGATTATCCATGATAAGGTGATGGCCAAGTGTCTCATTTGTCATGCATTTATTGACCTTGTGCAATTTGGCTCCTTTGGCCATCATGCATTGAAATACGCGATTGATGGTCCGAGGGTCGAGAACCATACTCCCTTGAGTTCATGACATGCTAGGAAGGGTGGTTGTGCACACATTGCCTTGAAAATGCATTGCCATGCTCTGTTTGTCCTATGCTGCAGCAAAACAGCATTCTGCAGGAAGATATGGTCGGCCGGCCATCTTCAGTGCCGATCGACTAAACATTGTTGGCCGAGATCCTCACAAATGGTCGATGACCAATTCTACATAGCCGATGTTCCTATATTTTGGCCGGTGACATCCCACAGTGCTCAGGGAGTGGTTCGGAAGCATCCTTGGGACTTGTGCAGTTTTCAGAGGTGTAAAACAGTGCAAACAGAGGCAACATGTGGCATGGCAACGGGTTTCCGAGCGAGGAGATCGAGCATGCATCATTCAATCATTCCGAGGCGGAGCTGCGGCGGTCTCTTTAGTTTCATAGCTTAGTTAATTTGTTTAAATTAGTTAAGGGTTTTGTAATATTTAATTAGCTAGGGTAGTTAATTAATTATTCGGTTTGTATTATTTATTCGGACCCTCCGTCGAGAGGGAAACTTTTGTAATAAGTGTGCGTGAGTGTGTGAATGTCTTCCAAACCCCACGTCTTTCTCCATTTTACTTATTTTCAATGGTTAGTTTTAGGTCATGTTTCAATTAGCATCCTTATGCTCGCATGTTTGCATCATTCATCTGTATTGCATGCACTGGGCTCGGCGCATCATACTAACTGCATAGTATTTCAATTCCAACTTGAATACGTGTATCGAGTTGTCACATTTCACATGCCATTGCTAGATTAGCCGAGCCTATTCTAGTTGCATTTTTGCATGTGTTACATTAGCCATCTTGACATGAACTAAGATCATGCATTTGATTACTAACTAGCTATT